TGGGATTTTCCCCATCCAAATGCAGAGATGTCCTGCCTGACCTTGCCTGACCATCCAGGTCCACCCTCCCCAGATGCAGGGTGTAATTTCCGAGGGAGACTCAGGTGGGAGGACACCCCCTGCCCCCAGAAGCAGGTCCTCCTGCCAGGACGGGGTGCAGCCCAAGACAGGCGCAGGAGGACTTGCATGAACTCAAACTGATACTTAAGGACTGTGTTGGTATAAAGACGAATACAATCCATGCTGCGTTCATCATCACTGTTGTTTTTTTCTTCTGATTTTAACAGAAATTGACATTAAATACTTCCCGAGGCCGCCTGAGTGAATCAGGGTCGGTGTGGGGCCGCGAGGGTAGAGGCCATGGGGGCCTTGCGCCGCTCTCCCTCCCTCCACCCCTCCTCCTCTCCCCTTTCCCCTCCCTCCCTCCTACCTTTCTCCCGCTGCCCGTTCCCCGGGTTCCTTTTCTCCCTCTGACCCTCCACCTCCCTCCCCTTCCCTCCCTCCCCCTTCCCTCTGTCCCTACAACCCTTCCCCAGGTTCCTTTTCTCCCTCCACCCTCCTCCCTCCCTCTTCCCTCTGCCCCTCCCCCTCCATCCCCAGGCCTCTCTCTTGCGCTCTCAGACAGCGCTCGCGGGCAGGGAGTCATGCGCGGTCTCTCCGGGCGCGCGGCGCTGCGGGGGCTGATGTGCCGCACGCGGGCCCCGGTCGCCAGCCTGCTTGCGCGCTCCAGCTCTGGTGAGTCCGCCCACCCGGCGGCCATGCGCGAGGTGGGGCGGGCTGAGGCGCCGCAGGCCTCTGCTGGCGCACGTGCGGGCCCTGGCGCAGGGGGCTTGAGGCCTCGGGACTGGCCGGTTGGAGCTGCGCGACCGTCGGGTTCTCGCCGGGCTGGGGCCCTGCGCGCACCGCCCCCCCCACCGCTCACTCCCACCCAGCCCCCCACGGCCCCGCTCACCTCCTCACCGTGCTCAGGGCAGGGGGTCCCCAGGGTTCCAGGGCAGGAGGAAGCCAGAAGCCTGGTGGCCACACTTTGCGGCGGACTCGGGGATCCTGAGGGGGGTCATTCTCAGCAGATGAACACTGCCGTCCTGGGGCGTTTTTCCCTCTGGCCTATCCCTGCCCGCTGGTATCCACAGGGACCTCTGCCCTAGCTGCTGACCCTCAGGCCCTTCCTGAGCGGCAGATGTCCTGGCGTTCCAAATGCTGGCAAGAGTGAACTGCCACCGGCTGAGGCACAAGCCAGCTGGCAGCAGGGCCCCCAGGCACTGGGCTTGGGGGATGGAATAAGGATGGGGGGACTTCCTCCAGCGCGGTTCATTGAAGGGATGTGGTGGGTACCCACTGCCTGCTCTCCAGGCCCTGCACAACTTTGGTTTATTTTCCTCCTGGGGATGGGAAGGCAGCTGCAGATGCCTCCAGGGACACTGGCCCTCCTGGACCCTACATCTTATCTCTCCTCCAGCTTTCTCCTCCCTCTTTGCAAGAATTAGCTGGACATCCAGGGTCTGGGCTCCTCTCAAAAGTACACTTGACCCTGGACCCAATGCTGAGGGTCAGCATAACTCTGGAAGTGGCCTGGGGCTGTAGGAGGGTGATGATGCTGGGGGGTCTTCCGGGCAGTGTCTCCCCAGGACGGGGAAGACTGCGGCAGTGCTGACTTTAGGTCTGGAAGCATCCCACCCTGGAACCCCACAGCAGCCTGGCCAACGAAGGTGTGAGGGGAGGAGCCCTCTCAACTCTCCCCACCTGCAGACAGGAACCCCTCCACCTTTCTCCTCAATCCCCAGGTCCCTTTGTCCCGCTGTCTGTGGCCCAGCCAGTGGGGAAAGTGCACTTCTGTCTCCCTGGTCCCCTGCCATTCCTTCACCTGAGACCCAGAAGATGGGTGGTAGTTCCTTCCTGATGTGGCAGGTGGGGGTTCAGACATTGTCTGTGCTAGCGCCACAAAGGACAAGAGTGAAAATCAGGCCAAGACTTGTACTTTCTTTCCAGTGTGGCATCTTTGGGCCTCCGGGTGGCCTCTGAGCTGGACTGTGCCTCCCTAGGCCTCCAGGCCTTCTAAGATAGATGCCTTTTCAGGGGACATCAGCTCTATCATGGGCAGCTCCTGCCACTGCCTGGGAGGGCCCATGGCCCCTCTGACAGGCTGAAGTCCCCAGGGACCCCCTGTGCTGCTTGTCCCAAGGGGTAGCACCATGCTAGACAGTCCTGGCTGTGGACACCACACTTCTCCCCTCCAGAGCTGCTCTGCCTGAGGCAGACACTCTGAAGTCCAGGTGACACCTGGGTCCTGGCAGGGGAACCCAGGTACGGGAGACATGAAAGGGTGAGGCCTCAGCAGCCCCGAACCCCCCTCTTCTAAAGGAGGACCCTCCTGGACCATGGAGCGGACCCTGGTTGCGGTGAAGCCAGACGGGGTGCAGCGGAGGCTCGTTGGGGATGTGATCCAGCGCTTTGAGAGGAGGGGCTTCAAGCTGGTGGGGATGAAGATGCTGCAGGTACCAGGGCTCTTGGCCTGTGGGTGTCCCTGAGGGGACTGGGATGGGGGGCTTCTCACATCTCAGCCCTGCGTCAGGAAGACATCCTGGTGTTGGCAGTAGAAGGGGAGGGGTGGGGAGGTGTCTGCCTTGTGCTTTTGTGGCTGGAGTGCTGCCCCATGTAGGTGTCATCTGCAAAGGGCCCTGTGATCAGTACACCATGTCACTGTCCCAGTGCCTGGTGGGGCTCCCTCTCCAGGGGCTCCTCTCACCCCCTTCCCCCAATGCACCAGGCACCAGAGAGCATCCTTGCCGAGCACTACCACGACCTGCAGAGGAAGCCCTTCTACCCAGCCCTCATCAGCTACATGAGCTCCGGCCCGGTGGTGGCCATGGTACAGCGGGGCAGGGGTGGTGGGAGGGGTGGAGGGTCCTGGACTGAGCCCTTGGTGATACCCACTTCTCCCCACCTCCTTTATCTCTGTGCTGCAGGTCTGGGAAGGCCCCAATGTGGTCTGCACCTCGAGGGCTATGATAGGACACACCAACTCGGCTGAGGCTGCCCCTGGCACCATCCGGGGAGACTTCAGCATCCACATCAGCAGGTATGGGGGCCCTAACACACTCGGCCACTTGGAGCTGAGGGCCAGCTCACTAGGGGCTTGGGGTGGTGGCTTGCTGCTAAGGCAGATCCACCAGACCTGGGCTTCTTGCTCAGGGGAAAGTAAAGCCAGAGGAGACTTTTACTGATGGCCCATCACACCTAACGTTTGCTAGTGCAGTTTTTTTAAAAACCCTTTCATGCACACAGGAGAAGATAAAGCATTCCCTGTGTGTTTTATATGTGCTCTGCCATCGTTGTCTGTCACCTCACTTTATCGCCAGACACCCCGGGGGTTGGCACGGGACAGATGACATTGTGGGTAAGAAGCTGAGATCAGGCTGGAATCCAGTTTTGCAGCTCCCCTGTTCTTCCTTTCACCTCTGTACAATCACCCCGCTTGCTCCCCTCGACAGTAGGGGATCAGCAGACTGTCCCTGGGACCCCCAAGGTGCACACTGAAGCCTGTGTCCTACCTCTGCCACCTGGCACAGGAATGTCATCCACGCCAGCGACTCCGTGGAGGGGGCCCAGAGGGAGATCCAGCTGTGGTTCCAGAGCAGTGAGCTGGTGGACTGGGCAGACGAAGGCCACCACAGCAGCACCTATCCAGCCTGAGCACTCAGGGTGCCCTCGGTCACCCCAGCATCCACCCAGGACCAACTACCTCTGTCGACAAGACCTTGAGCCCACACCCATGCTCTGCCCATCTGTCCCAGACCCACCCGCCTGTCCGCCTGCTGCCCCACCCCCGCCCAGAGGGGTTGAGCCACCAACTTTATGTGCCTTTTAGTATTATCCGAAGCAAGCAAGAGATTGGACAAAATCCTTTCTGTACCAAAGTGCCAGACAAGCTTTGGGGTGCCTCCAAAAGCTGGTAGTGTGACCTCCCTTCCCCCAGAGTGGGGACATTAAAATTCACTGTGCTGTGCGTGGGGGTGGAGTGCTCATTACAGCCTCTGCCATCTCTGAGGTAAGGATGAGGCCTTTATGCAAAGTTGTAAGCAGCTTGAAAGTACAAATGAAGCTTACCATCTCTCACACACCAGGAGGAAGTCAATAACTTTGTTGAATGTATGAGACAGGCAGAGGTCCAGAGACCTCCAGCCTGAAATCTGGGGAATCCAAGCTGAGCCCCTGAGCTAGTGCTCTCCCTGAAGGAGGAGCCCTAGGCAGGACTGGAGGGTTGCAGGAAGGGGTAGGCAGGGAACTGAAGCCGCCCCCAGGGCAGAAAGGCTGGTGACCACACTGACACTACACACTTACGCCTGGTCCTCAGGTGTGTCCCCGGTCACTTGTCACAGGTACTGGACACCACACATCATTACACCTGCTGAGGCCGACTTGGTCCTCACTCAAATTTGACGTCTTGCCGACGGAAGCGCTGGTCCCGGATTCCCGGCTTTGGTTGCTCTCTGTGCCTACACATGAGGGCACGGATGAAGTGTACTGACTTTACTGGCCGCGAGAGGGTCGTGTTGGGAGCCAACCTTGGGACTGGCCATTCGAGAGAAGGGCCTTCCTTGTTTCCCATGGCTTTTCTGGGCTCTACTCTCCTACCCTCTTCTACGTCACACTTTTGCAACAGGAAAGGGAAGCGTCCAGGAGGCGAGGAACTTTAAATGCTGGGCGAGTCCGACCAGGTGTTTTAAATGCACAGCAGGGCCCAGGGCGGTGAGGGAAGCCGAGGGGCCCTGGGCCGGCCCGCGAGCTCCACCTTAGCCCGGGAACCGAGTGTCCCCTGTGTCCGGCCAGCTCCGACCCCGGCACTGACGCCCAGTCTTGTGAAAAGCAGTCGGGAAAGCGGATAGCTCCCAGCCGCGTTCACCGCTCCTACGCCGCGAGAACCTGCCCGCCGCACTGCGCCTGCGCACACCTTGGCGCCCGGAGTGACTTCCAGTCCCAGCAGGCCGCGCGGCCATGGGGCCGGACGTCCTGGGAGAAGCGGGGGGAGGGCCGGGAAGGACCCGGTTGTCCTGGGAAGAGGGAGGGCCGGGGTGGTTGGTGCGCCCTGGGAGGAGCGAGGGGACGCGGAGGCGGGGCTTCCTGGGAGGAGCGAGAGCACGCGGAGGCGGGGCGTCCCGAGAGGGGCGAGCGCCGGGTGGGCCGGGCTTCCTCGTCCCAGGCCAGCCAGAGAGGAGGGCGCGGGCACAGCGCCACCTGTCCCCGGAGGACGAGGTCGGAGTCCTGATCCCGGCGGGCCCCTGCTGTTCTAGCCTCCCAGGCCCGCACCGAGCGCCATGGCCCAGCCACCGCCTGATGTCAGCGAGGACGACTGTCTCCCGGAGTACCGCCACCTCTTCTGTCCGGACTTGCTTCGGTGAGGGCCGTGTCGGGGGCGCCCCAGGGAGCCGGGCAGGGGGCGGGGGCGCCTGCGCACGGGGACTGCGGTTTTACTGGGATGCGTGAGGACCCCATGCCTGGTGGCCAGACTGTCCGGAGGTCCAGGTGCCCCAGAGATGCAACTGCTGGTGTTCTGATCTTTGCATGGCTGTGAGCACGGTCTGTTTGTCCTGTGGGTGGTGGTGGGTGTTCATTAGCAATGCTCCGAGGTGGGGGTGAGTGTCAAAGGACACAACCAAGCCAAAGGTCAGGAGAGGGAAGGATTTATTATTGCCAGCAGCAAGTAAGGAGAACATTGGAGATTTTCCCCAAAGCGGAGTCTCCCCGCACAGCAAATTTGGGGAATTTTTAAGCTAAAGGTGCATGCATATTCATGAAGGGTTTGGGCGGTTGAGAGACCAAGCTTTAATTGATTGAAGTCACAAGGGTCATCATCCCTGAGGTTCCAGTTGATCTGATGGTTGCGCACTTCAGGCTAATCTTTACCATGGAAACAACTGGGAGTCTTTAAACCTGATTTATTATCTTTGCTATTGTTACTTCTCTTGCTGATGACAATCGTTAGTTTCTGTATTCTTTTTTTTTTTTAACTTGGATAGAGTTTGACCCCTACCCATTTTTTAAAAATTTTATTTTATTTATTTTTTTATACAGCAGGTTCTTATTAGTTATCTATTTTATACATATTAGTGTATATATGTCAATCCCGAACTCCCAATTCATCCCACCACCACGCCTCCCCACCACTTTCCCCCCTTGGTGTCCATACGTTTGTTCTCTACGTCTGTGTCTCTATTTCTGCCCTGCAAACCGGTTCATCTGTACCATTTTTCTAGGTTCCACATATATGCGTTAATATACGATATTTGTTTTTCTCTTTCTGACTTACTTCACTCTGTATGGCAGTCTCTAGGTCCATCCACATCTCTACAAATGACCCAACTTCATTCCTTTTTATGGCTGAGTAATATTCCATTGTATATATGTACCACATCTTCTTTATCCATTCGTCTGTTGATGGGCATTTAGGTTGCTTCCATGACCTGGTTATTGTAAATAATGCTGCCATGAACATTGGGGTGCATGTGTCTTTTTGAATTATGGTTTTCTCTGCATATATGCCCAGTAGTGGGATTGCTGGGTCATAGGGTAATTCTATTTTTAGTTTTTTAAGGAACCTCCATACTGTTCTCCATAGTGGCTGTATCAATTTACATTCCCACCAACAGTGTAGGAGGGTTCCCTTTTCTCCACACTCTCTTCAGCATTTGTTGTTTGCAGATTTTCTGATGATGCCCATTCTAACCCATGTGAGGTGATACCTCATTGTAGTTTTGATTTGCATTTCTCTAATAATTAGTGATGTTGAGCAGCTTTTCATGTGCCTCTTGCCCATCTGTATGTCTTCTTTGGAGAAATGTCTATTTAGGTCTTCTGCCCATTATTTGATTGGGTTGTTTGTTTTTTTTAATATTGAGCTGCATGAGCTGTTTATGTATTTTGGAGATTAATCCTTTGTTGCTTCATGTGCAAATATTTTCTCCCATTCTGAGGGTAGTCTTTGCGTCTTGTCTGTAGTTTCCTTTGCTGTGCAAAAGCTTTTAAGTTTCATTAGGTCCCATTTGTTTATTTTTGTTTTTATTTCCATTACTCTAGGAGTTGCGTCAAAAAAGACCTTGCTGTGATTTATGGCAAAGAGTGTTCTTCCTATGTTTTCCTCTAAGAGTTTTATAGTGTCTGGTCTTACATTTAAGTCTTTAATCCGTTTTGAGTTTATTTTTGTGTATGGTGTTAGGGAGTGTTCTAATTTCATTCTTTTACATGTAGCTGTCCAGTGCTCCCAGCACCACTTATTGAAGAGACTATCTTTTCTCCATTATATATTCTTGCCTCCTTTGTCATAGATTAGTTGACCATAGGTGCATGGGTTTATCTCTGGGCTTTCTTTCCTGTTCCACTGATCTGTATTTCTCTTTTTGTGCCAGTACCATATTGTCTTGATTATTGTAGCTTTGTAGTATAGTCTGCAGTCAGGGAGTCTGATTCCTCCAGCTCCGTTTTTTTCCTTCAAGTATGCTTTGGCTGTTCGGGGTCTTTTGTGTCTCTACACAAATTTTAAGATTTTTTTGTTCTAGTTCTGTAAAAAATGCCACTGGTAATTTGATAGGGATTGCATTGAATCTGTAGATTGCTTTGGGTAGTAGTCATTTTCACAATATTGATTCTTCCAATCCAAGAACATGGTATATCTCTCCATCTGTTTGTGTCATCTTTGATTTCTTTCATCAGTGTCTTATAGTTTTCTGAGTACAGGTCTTTTACCTCCTTAGGTAGGTTTATTCCTAGGTATTTTATTCTTTTTGTTGCAATGGTAAATGGGATTGTTTCCTTAATTTCTCTTTCTGATCTTTCGTTGTTAGTGTATAGGAATGCAAGAGATTTCTGTGCATTAATTTTGTATCCTGCAACTTTACCAAATTCATTGATTAGCTCTAGTAGTTTTCTGGTGGCATCTTTAGGATTCTCTATGTATATTATCATGTCATCTGCAGTGACAGTTTTACTTCTTCTTTTGCAATTTGTATTCCTTTTATTTCTTTTTCTTCTCTGATTGCAGTGGTTAGGACTTCCAAACTATGCTGAATAATAGTGGCGAGAGTGGACATCCTTGTTTTTTTCCTGATCTTAGAGGAAGTGCTTTCAGGTTTTCACTATTGAGAATGATGTTGCTGTGGGTTTTTTCGTACATGGCCTTTATTATGTTGAGGTAGGTTCCCTCTATGCCCACGTTCTGGAGAGTTTTTATCATAAATGGGTGTTGAATTTTGTCAAAAGCTTTTTCTGCATCTATTGAGATGATCATATGGTTTTCATTCTTCAATTTGTTAATATGGTGTATCACATTGATTGATTTGCATATATTGAAGAATCCTTGCGTCCCTGGGATAAATCCCACTTGATCATGGTGTATGATCCTTTTAATGTGTTGTTGGATTCAGTTTGCTAGTATTTTGTTGGGGATTTTTGTATCTATATTCATCAGTGATATTGGTCTGTAATTTTCATTTTTTGTAGTATCTTTATCTGGTTTTGGTATCAGGGTGCTGGTGGCCTCATAGAATGAGTTTGGGAGTGTTCCTTCCTCTGCAATTTTTAGGAAGAGTTTGAGAAGGATAGGTGTTAGCTCTTCTCTAAATGTTTGATAGAATTCACTTGTGAAGCCATCTGGTCCTGGACTTTTGTTTGTTGGAAGATTTTTAATCACAGTTTCAATTTCATTACTTGTGATTGGTCTGTTCATATTTTCTATTTCTTCCTGGTTCAGTCTTGGAAGGTTATACCTTTCTAAGGATTTGTCCACTTCTTCCAGGTTGTCCATTTTATTGGCGTGGAGTTGCTTGTAGTAGTCTCTTAGGATGCTTTGTATTTCTGCGGTGTCTGTTGTAACTTCTCCTTTTTCATTTCTAATTTTATTGATTTGAGTCCTCTCCCTCTTTTTCTTGATGAGTCTGGCTAGTGGTTTACCAATTTTATTTATCTTCTCAAAGAACCAGCTTTTAGTTTTATTGATCTTTGCTATTGTTTTCTTTGTTTCTATTTCATTTATTTCTGCCCTGATCTTTATGATTTATTTCCTTCTGCTAACTTTGGGTTTTGTTTGTTCTTCTTTCTTTAGTTCCTTTAGGTGTAAGGTTAGATTGTTTATTTGAGATTTTTCTTGTTTCTTGAGGTAGGCTTGTATTGCTATAAACTTCCCTCTTAGAACTGCTTTTGCTGCATCCCATAGGTTTTGGATCATCGTGTTTTCATTGTCATTTGTCTCTAGGTATTTTTTATTTCCTCTTTGATTTCTTCAGTGATCTCTTGGTTATTTAGTAATGTATTGTTTAGCCTCCATGTGTTTGTGTTTTTTATGTTTTTTTCCCCTGTAATTGATTTCTAATCTCATAGCGTTGTGGTCGGAAAAGATGCTTGATATGATTTCAATTTTCTTAAATTTACCGAGGCTTGATTTGTGACCCAAGATGTGATCTATCCTGGAGAATGTTCCATGTGCACTTGAGAAGGAAGTGTAATCTGCTGTTTTTGGATGGAATGGCCTATAAATATCAATTAAATCTATCTGGTCTATTTTGTCATTTAAAGTTTGTGTTTTGTTATTAATTTTCTGTCTGGATGATCTGTCCATTGGTGTAAGTGAGGTGTTAAAGTCCCCCACTATTATTATTACTTTTTTAAAATTTAATTAATTAATTTATTTTTGACTGTGTTGGGTCTTCGTTGCTGCATACAGGCTTTCTCTAGTTGCAGTGAGAAGGGGTACTCTTCGTTGTGGTGTGCAGGCTTCTCATTGCGGTGGCTTCTCTTGTTGCAGAGCACAGGCTCTAGGTGCACAGGCTTCAGTAGTTGTGGTGCGTGGGCTCAGTAGTTGTGGCTCATGGGCTCTAGAGCACAGGCTCAGTAGTTGTGGTGCATGGGCTTAGTTGCTCCACGGTATGTGGGATCTTCCGGGCCAGGGCTTGAACCTGTGTCCCCTGCATTGGCAGGCGGATTCTTAACCACTGAGCCACCAGGGAAGCCCAAAGTCCCCCACTATTATTGTGTTACTGTCGATTTCCTCTTTTATAGCTGTTAGCAGTTGGCTTATGTATTGAGGTGCTCCTATGTTGGGTGCATATCTATTTATAATTGTTATTTCTTCTTCCTGGATTGATCCCTTGATCATTATGTAGTGTCCTTCCTTGTCTCTTGTAACATTCTTTATTTTAAAGTCTATTTTATCTAATATGAGTATTGCTACTCCAGCTTTCTTTTGATTTTCATTTGCATGGAATATCTTTTTCCATCCTCTCACTTTCAGTCTGTATGTGTCCCTAAGTCTGAAGTGGGTCTCTTGTAGACAGCATATATATGTGACCCCTACCCATTTTTATTTAAAAAAAATTTTTATTTATTTGGCAGCACCGGGTCTTAGTTGTGACATGTGGGATGGCATGTGGGATCTTCAGTTGTGGCATGCGGGATCTAGTTCCCTGACCAGGGATCAGGCCCCTGCATCAGGAGCACGGAGTCTTAACCACTGGACCACCAGGGAAGTCCCAGTTTCTGTATTCTTCTGAGACCTGTTCGAGGACAAGACTGTGACCAGGCTTAGATCATAGAATGGCTTAGGCCAAAAATGCTTCTCTTATGTCAAGAAAGCCATGCGTGTTTCTCTTTCTCCAGGAACCGTCTACTCTATCCACTTAGCAGGTGGCTGGAGGAAGGCTTGTATGTTTTGGAAACATTTCTCACTTAATTGGTAACTTTCTGCATAGAGACTTTTATGCATAGAGACGTTCTTCCCAAAGATTCAAAAAGCTGAGGAATGCAGGCTTTAAAAAGCAGCGTTTCTCAAATTTGACAGAAGTGCCCAGTGCAGAGGGTCAATGTCCTCCAGGAGCACCTCCTCCCCGCCCCCATTTAACAGGGGCCTCTTTAAAGAGCCTCTATTTTCTTCTCTCAGGGACAAGGTAGCCTTCATCACAGGCGGTGGCTCTGGAATTGGGTTCCGGATTGCTGAGATTTTCATGCGGTAAGCACTGCTCTGTGTGCTCTGTGCCCCATCTTGTTCCCCACCCCCTTGCATGGACCCCACTGGACCCTGGGATCTTGGGCAAAATGCCGGTGGGTGGTGGGAACCCCTCTAGCCCCAGGGCCATCAGAGAGCATCTGAAAGGGGTCAAGTGCTGTCCGGGGAGAGGCAAGACTACAGCCTCTTCTAGAGATTAGTCTAGACTGTTGGGCTCTGGCCTCAGCACCCCCATTTGTACAAAGCGGGAGGATCCAAAGGTTGAGGTAATTCTACTGCAGTGTCCCCCAGGGTCTTGCTGAGCCAGGGTCAGGGTGGGCCGAGTTGGACCCTGGCACCATGCAGAGCACAGTGTCTCCTGGGACACAAGGTCTGTGGTCTCAGGCCCAGGTCAACAGTTTGTCACCCCCACCTAGGAGAGGCCTAGAGTTAGGCTGGGGTTAGGGGAGGTGAAGCTGGTTTCCTCCAGGACCCTGCTTTTCAGAGATGTCCCACTGGATGAGATTTTGGGACTCATCCATTCCAGGTGAATTTGTTTTCCGAGCTGGAAGCTTTGTTGCTTCTCTGAGCAGAGCGTGGCCAGCTGTGCTGTGGTGTTCTGAGGATTCAGTGGGACTGGCTTAGCAGGTGGTAGCTGGTACTGTTACTGAGTTTGAGGCTGGGTTTGTCGGGAGGTAAGGCAGGGGAGGTGCCCTGGCCCTGGAATGGGCTCTCTGTCCTTCACTCCAGCCTCCCGGGGAGACCCAGGTGGACCCAGCAGGACTCATGCAGAGTCTGGGCCCTGTGTCCAAGACTCACAGCTGCTCACATGGTGTTTGGGGCAAGGCCCACATCCCCGCATGGCTGGCATACCTCATGCCAGAGAGACCCAGCCCAGAAACCAGTGGTGCCTGCCTGAGGTCCTGCCACAGTCACTCAGCCCCACAGAGGCCCCTGTGTCCTCTGCTAGATGTGCCTTTAGCCCTAGGCTGGTGTTTAAGCCTGAGAGACCCTTTGGGGAGGGGGACCTTTGCTTCAAGCGCCAGGCAGGAGCCCGGCTGGGCGTGTCCCTTGCACCTTGCTGCCCTCACGCCTGCCCTCTGGCTTTGCAGGCACGGCTGCCACACAGTCATCGCCAGCAGAAGTCTTCCCAGAGTGTCGATGGTAAGGGGTCTCTCCTGTGCCCACGTGTCCATGGGTAGCTTTGGGGGCTGGGAGCCTGGGCCTGGAGGGTCCTGATGTTCCAAGGACGATTACACCAAAACCTGCCCCTCTTCCAAATACAGAGCTTCAATGGAAGTGGCCCACAGGGACATCCTTATCTTTTTAAAGAATCTACTTATTGGGTCCTGTGTGGGAACCCTTATGCTGGGTGGTACTGTGGCCCCAAGACAGATATCTGGACTCACCAGGGTCATGAGGGTGGAGAGTCTCTCCACTGCCATGGCTGGTCTCGGGGCAGGGACTGGACGTCAGCTAGAGCTGCCGTTGACCTGTGACTAGTGACCAGGGGCCTGGAGGGTGATGAAAGGGGAGAGGGTGCAGGCTGTCTTAGCAGCGTCCACCAGGGGTCATGGCCCTAGGGAGTGGTCACTTGCCAGCTGTGTCTCTGCAGAGTGGGTTTCAGCAGCAGAGCCCGGCTTCCTGGCAGAACCTGGCTCATCATCCTTAGATTCTGAAGGGCTGTTCCTCCAGGCTGAGGCCACCGGCCTGCTGCCCACCTCTCTCTTCCTGTCCGGCTTCTAGGCTGCCAGAAAGCTGGCTGCTGCCACTGGCCAGAAGTGCCTCCCTTTATCTCTGGACGTCCGAGCTCCCCTGGCCATCATGGCAGCCGTGGAGCAGGCTCTGAAGGAGTTCGGGAAGATCGACATTCTCATTAACTGTGAGTCACTGTTGAGCGAGGCCAGGGGTCTTCCTTTTTTTTTTTTTTTTTTTTTTTAGAAAAATCACAGTACTTTATTATTCCCAGCGCAAAGGGCAGGTCTTTGAAAAACGAGGGGGCAAGTTCTGACTGCGGGGAGGAGGCCCCTTCTTGCTGGCTATGCGTGAGCGAGTTCCACAGGACCACAATGACCCCACAATGACCCCACACAGGACCATCTTGGAGATGTAGCGGTGCTTGTTGACTGGCTTGGACTTCTTCTTGCTCCCGCCATTCTTGGGGACCTTGGTCCACACCTCCTTCACTTTCTCCAGCACCATGTTGCGGTGCCTATCAAAGGCCTTCACACGGCCCAGGAGCTTCTTGTTGTGGCAATTGATGAGCACTTGGGTGTTGTTCTTGACCGACTGTGTGAGCACGGCGAGTGGACCCATGTTAAACTCTTCCCCCTCCCGCTTCTGCAGCTCCTCTGGGGTCATCTCACCCTTGGGCTTGTTGAGGAGGCACATGGTGGCAGTGGTGGTGGCCGTGCTCTCAAGTCACTAATGTCTCCTCCACGTTGCTTTGGCCTTCTGGCCTGGGGGCTTCTGACAGGTCAGCAATACCAGATCTCCCTGTTTGGAGGCCCCAGAACTGTCCTGGCTCCAGGCCACTGTCTCAGCCCAGCTCAGCTCCTTCCGGGTCAGTGCAGCTGTGGCTCAAGAGGATGCCCTGTGAACTAGGCTGAATCATAGAGTAGGGCCACTCTTGTGTCCTGAAATTCCCCCTTAAAGAAAAAGGACTACACGTTATTGTTTTAGTATAGTTTTAGATTCGCAGACTAATTGAGCAGATAGTACAGAGAACTCCACATACTATGAACACCTTGCATTTGTTACAACCGGGGAACCGATATCGATACATACGGTTAACTATAGTCCCTATTTTACATTCAGGTTCATTTTTGCTGAAATTTCCTTTAAAAACATCCTGCGTCTTATTTTCCTGCCACTAACAAAGTCATAAGCTGGGCAGCTTAAAACAACAGAAATATATTCTCTCACAGTCTGGAGGCCAGAAGTCTGAAAACAAGGCTCGGCGGAGCTTCTGTCCCAGGCCCTGCCGTCAGCTCCTGGGGTTGCTGCCTGGTAGGCCTTGGCTCTGGGCTGCACCCCTCCCTCCAGCCTCTGCCTCCTTCACACTGCCATCCCCTGTGCACGTCTGTGTCCTCTTCTTTTTAAGGATGCCAATCCTTGGGCTTAGGCCACCCTAATTCAGTATGATCTACTCTTACCTTGATGACATCTGCAAAGACCATCTTTTCAAATAAGGTTACGTTCACAGGCACCAGGGGTTGGGACTTCAGCGAATTTTTTTTAGGGACACAATCCAACCCATAAAACCCATCCTGCCTGTCATTCAGGAACTTGTCCAAATGCTCAGGTTTCCTTCCCTGGCCAACCTGGGCCACCCCGAGGGTCCAGATGCTTCAACTGCCCGGGGCTCCAGCACCATCCACTCTCTCCTTCCACTGGCAGGTGCAGCCGGGAACTTCCTGTGCCCTGCCAGTGCCTTGTCCTCCAACGCCTTCAAGACCGTGATGGACATCGACACCTTGGGCACCTTCAACGTGTCTCGCGTACTCTACGAGAAGTTCTTCCATGTGAGTGTCCCGCGGCCAGGGCCTCCCCGCTTCTGGCCACCGCTCACTGCCCCTCTCGTGTGTTGCAGGGCCATGGAGGGGTGATCGTGAACATCACTGCAACCCTGGGTACCCGCGGGCAGGTGCTCCAAGTGCATGCAGGCTCTGCCAAGGCGGCCGTGGGTACGGGCGCCCCCTCTGGTCTGCCCACGTGGGTTCTTCCCCATCCCTGTCCCCGGAGGCCGGCAGTGTCCCCCAACCCCCAACTGGGCCTCTCTAAAGGCAGAGCAGCCCTGCTTCTCCCTCATGCCTGCCGGCCTCCCACGCAGATGCGATGACACGGCACCTGGCTGTGGAGTGGGGCCCCCAGAACATCCGCGTCAACAGCCTTGCCCCTGGCCCCATCAGCGGCACAGAGGGCTTCCGGCGGCTGGGTAAGGCTCCCGGGGAGCCCAGGCCCCCCAGCGGGTGCTCCCCTAAGCACAGGCACCCCCGCCCCCTCCACCGTGCCTCCGAGGGCTCCCCTCCCACCTGGCTGGGACAGGCCTGGGATCAGTGCCAAATCCTCATGGCTTCCCAGGGTGGGCAAAGAGTCCGTCTCCAGGCTGGGGACAGTTCGCACAGCCCTGCAATGGACTAAGGGTCAGCTGGACTTGGGCAGCTGCCCCCTAGAGCTAGAGGCCAGGGGCTGCTGGCCTTGATGTGTGAGCCGGACACAAAGTGGGGCCCCATTGAAGCCTCCAGAGCCTTGGCAGGGTGAGCAGAGAAAGGCCCTGTGCTGGTTCTGTAGTGGTGTTACTGTACCTGGCCTGTTCCTGCTCCCCCAGGATGATGCTAACGATGCCCCCAACATTCCTGGGTGTGGTTCAGGGAAAGCTGGGCAGGGGAGGGTGGAGGGCCCCGGGGTCCTGGGGCCCACAGGGGCTGAGCCTCCCACTGCTTCCCAGGTGGCCCACAGGCCAGCATGAGGGCAAAGTTCCTGGCAAGCCCCCTGCAGAGGCTGGGGAACAAGACGGAGATCGCCCACAGCGCCCTCTTCCTGGCCAGCCCTTTGGCATCCTATGTGACGGGGGCCCTGCTGGTGGTTGATGGTGGGGCCTGGCTGACATTCCCTAACGACATCCAGTCGCTGGCGGACTTCTCATCCTTCTCTGCTAAGCTCTAGGTGATGTGCCACTCCCACCTTCAGGGGTCACCTGTGTCCTTGGCCCCCTCCCCAAAATACCCACCTAGTGGACTGATGGTCACTGTGCTGGGCCTGATGCCTTTCTCCTCAGTCTCTTATGTGTATTTCTAGATGTATTCTCAGGCACTGTTGGGTTCCCCTGCTCCACACGTAGGGCAAGGCTCGAGTCTTCCAGGGCAGATGGGTGGTGCTGGGAGGGGCCGGCCCCACGGAGCTGCACCGCAGACCTCGGGGCCTCCCTGAAAACCAGAGCCTGTATGGCTTACCTGAAGAGGCTGGGAACCCTGTCTCTCTTTGGGAGCTCCCCTGGGTGACCCTCTCTGGGGGCCTGAGGGCCTGCTGGGCCCATGGGGGCGGGGGAAGGTGCCGCTGCTCTCTGCTTCCCCTCCTCCCCCACCAGTCCCAGGGGTATGGCCAGCCCTTGAGACCTGCTCATCCTAGTCCTCTGAGCAGCAGCTTCCTTTGAGGATGGCTGAGGAGATGTAACCGCCCCGGTTGGGACCTGGCCTCTAAGCCTCCTGGGTCCCCATCGCAGGGTGGTGGCAGGAACGTTCTAGGACTTTGGCTGGCTCTTGTCCCGTCCTGGGGGCGGGAGTGCTGGAGGGACATCCAGGAGCTCACAGCGTTCAGTCACACCATGAAGCTGCAGTTGGCGTGGGCTTCTGTGGAGAACCCCAGTCTCAGAGGTGGGCTTGTTTGTAGGACAGGAGCTGCTGATTGGCCATCTGTGGTTTGGTGGCCGGCAGACACGTTCTCAGTGCCCGGGGCATGCGGGCGACCAGGTGGCGGGAGGGTGTGGGTGCTGGGCAGGCTCCCCGGTCGCTGGGGTGAGGAGTACTGATGGAGGGCTGGGAGGGGGCAGAGGGGGCCACTGTATCCACCTCCAGGAGACGCACACGGCCTGGTGGCCTGCTGCCCGCCCCAGCCTGGCCACTCACACCCCCAGGGCTGTGCAGGAGGTGGGTGCCCCTCAGTGCTCTCCAGTGACCTTGTGTCTGCTGGCATTTCTGACAGGCAGGGGACAGTGTGCTGCAGAGGCGCTGGTCCACACCTGCTCTCGGATCCCTGCGACCTGCCTCCCGCCTGCCCAGCCTGAGCGCCAAACCTGACAATTCCAAAAAGAGTGTCTGAAGCAGAGACTGGCCTTTCCTCTAGGAACCGTGCTGCATCCACATTCCCTCCCCATGGCCCTGTCTCCCATGCATGGGGGGCAGGGACTAGGCAGTGTGGCTGGCCTGCTGACCTGCTCACACACGCCGGGGAGGTCTGGGTTCCAGCGCTTCGAGAGTGTTGAGGCCAGGACGCAGGGGTGTCCCCCTTGCACAACCCAGGGTCAGGGCTGTACCGCCACCCCAGCCCCTGCCTAGGCTGGCCTCCTTTCCCCTCCTGCCTGCATCCAGTGGGTGTCCTGAGGTGGCTCCCATGGCCTGGGTAGAGAGAAGGGGGCATTTCAGGCTATCTTCTCTTCCTTGCTCTCCCGCTTTGAGACCTTTGCTTGGCAAAGAGATGCCAAACTAGGGAGGCTGGAGAAGCGTGTTTAAGCCTCTCCACAAGACCTGTGTCCTGGGTCCTATCCCCGGGGGTGTAGGCTGCAGAAGGGACCTCTGCCGGCCTCCAGTGACATGGGCAGGGTTGCTCCCCACCTGCCCTGGAGTCTGTCCTTTCCTGGGACATCCCCAGAGGACTTAGTCCTTGGTCATTTAAGGGCTCACTTTCTAGGTCCTCCAGGTGGCCTGTCCCCATTGTCACCAGCACCCTCCCTCAGGCCCAGGGGGTGGGGGATCTCTGGACCCTCAATTATTCCCCAATGACCACTCTTTGACACACACCCAGGCCAGGACCTAAGGGGGCCACTTGGATCCTGGGCTTGTTTTCTGTGCTGTTTGTTACAAACTTCAAGGTGCTCAAAGCTGTTGGTCTGCCCTCTGGCTGGACATGCGGCTTGGGTGCCCCCTTCCTCCCTGCCTCCCACCCTGCCCCCATCTGTACCGTCCATTTGCATAAGCACGGGTCCTAGAGTTTTGCCAGAAAATGCATTTACTTAAAAAATAATCATTTTCCTGTGAAAATATCTATTCATTGGACTTCGCAAATGTTTTTAGAAGGAGGAGGAGGGCACCTGAACAGAATCACTGGTGATCTGGGTATTTAGTGGTGTGTCTACTTCCTGTCTTTTTTCTGTGAAGAGTTTAGAAAACACTGTTTACCTAATGCGTGAAGCCCTGGTCCTGAGGCAGGGGGAGCCCACCCTGAGGCGAGGGGAGGCTGTCTGCTCCCCTGGTGGGAGGGGTGTCCTCCACAGCTGGTCCTGGAGGGGGGCGGGGGGCGCTGCCTGCCCTGCAAGCTCCTGGTGCTGCCACTAGAGTCCTGAGCTTGAGCCCTCTGCCCCAGATATCCACGCCTACCTGAGTTCCTTCCCGCCTTCATGGGTGCAGGGGCATGGCAGGGAGGCCACCGGGCAGAAGGAGCTCCGCTTGCCATTTAAACAGAGACCAAGGTGTGGTGGCATCAAGTCTACCAGCAAGGCAGGCAGATGGGCGCTCGTGATGCCACGGGAGGAGGAAAGAACCATGAAGGCAGTTCCTGGGGAGCTGCAACCATAGACCCCACGTGCCAGAGAGCTGAGGCCTGCCGTCCCTGGAGGAGACAGAGAAGGCCCTGGGGAGGGTGTCCCGCCAGCCACATTCAAAGGCCTGGGACTCAACAGCAGCGTAGCTCCAGGAGGACAGAAGAGAATGAAAGGAGTGAGCCTTTTATTACTGTTAGTCAGGATTCTCCAGGAAACAGAGCCAGTAGGATATATATAGATCTGCAGGAGATTTATTATAGGGACTGGCTCATGTGACTGTGGGGGCTGAGAAGTCCCATGATCTGCCAACTGCAAGCTGGAGACCCGGCAAAGCAGATGGCGTGATTCAGTCTGAGCCCGAAGGCCCAAGAACCAGGGGCTCCGACAGCCAAGGGCACCGGAAGGTGGATGTCCCCGCTCAAGCAGAGAGCGAGGGAACTTGCCCTTTCTCAGCCCACATTGATGAAGTCAGGTCTTCCATCTACTGAATCAAATGCTAATCTCTGAGAAATACCCAGAGATACTGATTTACCAGCTATCTGGGCACACATTAGCCCCGTAAAGTTGACACAAAGTTAAACATCACAGTTGCACACACCATGAGGTCCGTGCCCTTGCTCATCGTCTGCATGTGGTGGTCAGTTTGGCTGTAAGGAATCTGCCTCGCTGTTTGGCTTAGCCCACCAGCCCCGGCTGTCATCCTGCAGGTCCAGGACACCTGCTGGGGGCTTGTGGGTCATGGGCACACCTGGCGCGTGTCACTTGCCAGGTGGGCTCTGGGAAGGGCTGGCAAGGAGGGCCAGGTGCATGTGGTGAGGGGGTTAACACCGGCCCCAGCAGTGGCACTCGGACTTGGTGGCAGTTGGCAGAGAACTAGGTTGTCCCCTTCCACATTAACAATCTCTACAATTCCCTTAGGAAATGCCAGGTTCTCTGAAAGGAAGGATCATCTTTTATGTGTGAACCTCAGCTGTGGAAGCTGATTTACAGACCCTGCCCACTCCGAGTCCCCCTTCCATGGCATGAGGATGCCTCACGTCTTTTCAGAACTACACATAAAAACATCACGGGCTGGCTTCTCTGGTGGCACAGTGGTTAAGAATCCACCTGCCAATGCAAGGGACATGGGTTCGAGCCCTGGCCTGGGAAGATCCCACATGCTGCGGAGCAACTAAGCCCGTGCGCCGTAACTACTGAGCCTGTGCTCTAGAGCCCGCGAGCTACAACTACTGAGCCCGCGTGTCACAACTGCTGAAGCCTGTGCGCCTAGAGCCTGTGTTCTGCAACGAGAAGCCACAACAATGAGAAGCCCGCGCACCGCAACGAAGAGTAGCCCCTGCTCTCCGCAACTAGAGAAAGCCCGTGTGCAGAAATGAAGACCCAACACAGCCAAAACAAAAACAAACCAAAACAAATAAGTTAATTAAAAAAATAAACAGGAAGCATCATGGCTACAGCATAGGGCTGCCCACCACTGGGGTGCAGCCTTCCAGCCCCTGCTCCACGTTGTACATTTTTATTTTTATTTTATTTTATTTTTTTGGCTGTGTGTCTTCGTTTCTGTGCGAGCGGGGAGCCACTCTTCATCGCTGTGCGCGGGCCTCTCACTATTGCGGCCTCTTTTGTTGCGGAGCACAGGCTCCAGACGCGCAGACTCAGTAGTTGTGGCTCACGGGCCCAGTTGCTCCGCGGCATGTGGGATCTTCCCAGACCAGCGCTTGAACCCGTGTCTCCTGCATTGGCAGGCAGATTCTCAACCCCTGCGCCACCAGGGAAGCCCTGTACGGTTTTTTGAATGAATATGTGAATGACCCCTGTGTGTTGTGAGCCACACAAGGTGTCCCCGAGGCGTCGCCATGATGCAGTGAACTTTAAAATTCACTTAACTAAACTGTTAACTTGGGGGAGTTTGGGGGAGTTTCTCTGCCGACTCCTGTTGCCATGGTAACTTGGTAAAACTCACTGGCTTGCCTGTGCTTTGTCTGCGGTCACCGCGGAAAGGGCTGGAGGTCGTGCTGCTTTGTTTCTTGGTCCCTTGGTTGGCATCCTCCACATGTAGGTCTCTGGTGTCCCCGCGCACTGTGGGACCTGCCAGGGGTGGGCCACCCCGATGGAGGAGGAGACTTGGGAGGTTGAGGCTGACCTCGCCCGGACGCGGTCCACCCACCAGGTACACATTGAGCCCTTTGCCTGGTGCCCTGGCTGGGGGCTGGCACAAGCACGACTGTCCCTCCAGAACTTCCTCTCGGCCATGCATGTGGGCTCACGGAGTGAAGCAGGGAGAGATGGTAAATCCCCAAGCACCTTGCCAGTTGGAGGCTCAGCAGATGTTCCCCTCTCCTCTGACCCTCACATTGCTTTGTCCTTCTCGTGTGGGTCAGACTGAGCCTGCCTTGCAGTGGTCACGCCCCCACCCTGGGCTGTGTATCCAGGCGGGGTCCTGCTCGCCCCTGGCTCTGCCCCGAGGCCCGATCATGCTGCAGCTGGGCAGCCGTGTCCTCTTGAGCAGGGCAGAGGGGCTCTTCGGGCAGCCATGTCCTCTTGAGCAGGGCAGAGGGGCTCTCCGGGGTCAGGGCTTCCCAGGCCGGGGAGGGGGCTGGGCGTGGGCCCCTTGGGGCATTTCCCTCTGGGCACTTAGGCTGGTCTCTGCCGGATGCTGCAACAGATACAAAGAGGGGATGTGGGGGGAGATCCTGGGAAGTTCACAGGCTCCAGGGGTGGGATGCACTGGAGCTTGGGGACAAAGCTGGGGCCCAGGGCTCGGGGGTTCTTCCTTCTCCCACTTGACCTGCCCTGTGAACCTGCCTCTCCCCTCGCTGCCCTTCTGCTCTCTCTGCCCAGGTCCCAGCCGCCCTGTGTGCAAGCTGTAGCCCAGCCCCCTGAAAAGAGACGGCATTCCTTCTGTCAGACACACATACCCGTTCTTGGGAAAGGTGCTCCCTTCGGGTCAGGGTCTGGCTCTTGCTCAATAAACCACGGCCAAGGGTTGACTGCATTATATGAACCTGGTAACTCCCACTGCTTCTAGAAAACACGTGTGAGCAGGCATCCCATGTGGGTCCTGACTCACATCAAACACACTCACTAGAAACCAATGTGTAGACCAGCGTGGTGAGAATGTGTGTGTGTGTGTGTGTGTGTGTGTGTGTGTGTGAGATCGCATGAGTCTCAGGTCCCCTCTCTGGCAAAACCCGAGGGCCAGTGGGAGATGGCAGAGGCTCCCTGCTCACCTCTTGGGCCAGAGTTCTGCCCAACTCGGCTCTTCTGTCCTAGGGGCCGTGGGGGACCGGATCCTTCTTTGGACTTCCCTTTTCCTTGATTGTGCTAATCGGGCCCTTCAAGGGAACAGCCCCTCAGATGGGATTGCTGGATTTCATGTTTACCGCTGCATCCTGGTTCAGGTCTCTGGGATTAAACCTACATTACCCTGTCAGCAGACAGAGGTTTCTATAACTCTTTAGTCATTTATTTACTGATTATCTTGCATTATTTCCTAGGTGACACATGTTATTAGTATGGAGTTCCTTAACTCCCAGAGGATAACTTTATTTTCACATTTTGGAGTATTTGGGGGGCACCTCATCACATCCCTACATCAGAGCATCTCAATGAGACAGCACCTGACAGGTGTCTGCTGAAGAAGGAATAAGGAATGTTAGGAATATGCAGAATTAACGTTTAACTTTTCCACTATCACATGTAATTTGGACAATTTTTACCCCATGGGAGGAGAATGGTGTGAATTATATCTTCACCTCTGGAAAATGTGACCCGAGGCTAAGAAAGGAAGTTCTGAATCTGCGTACAAACCTCTCCCCGCCTGGTGCTTGGCGCCCATCCCCCCGCCGTGGGCTGTGATTCTGGCTGCAGGGGAGGCGTGGGAGGTGTGGGATTTGGGCGCTGTGGGGACTGGAGATGCCTGTCCTCACAGGAAGATGGGACCAGGTGCCAGCAACTGCAGAGTGAAATGTTAAAATAAGAAAATCATCCAAACCTCGGCTGAGTCAGGAGGAATTAAATTGTGCCTTACAAACTCATGGTCTATTTTTACTCTAAGAAATGTACTTTACTAAACTTGAAGGTGAGAAAAAAATCCTTCCCCACTGAATAAATATCAGTAAACAGAAGTATGGACTGTGCTCTTGGCTTCAGGAGGCCACGGGGAGGGTGTGTGTGATCTAGACCTAAAATTGACTCTGTTCTCAGTTTACTTACCCTACACAAAATGTATATGTAGTTTTTAAAATTTTTAAATTGAAAATATTTGGCCAGCAGTTTGTAGTTTGATTGAGGTATAACTGACATTCAGAAGACTGCACATGAGTGAAATCTACAGTTTGGTGAGTTCTGACATTTCTACATCCGTGAAACCATCACCACAATCAAGAGGATGAACATACCCATCGCCTGTAAAACGCCTCCTCCCGCCCCTTGGAAACCCCCTCATTTCTCCCTGCCCCTTCATCCCCAGGTGACCCAGCCAGGATGGCAGTTCAGGACTGGGAGGGGGAGGCCAGCATCTTCTGGGCGGGAGGAGAAGGTGGGACAGGAGGTAGAGGTGCTGAGCCCTCAGCCAGGTCCAGAACCCCTTTCCTGGGGCGCCCAGTGGCAGGCTGTTTGGTGGCCCTGCTCCTCCCTTGCTCTGGCCCCATCACGGGCCTGTGGCAGGTCACTTCGTCCTCCAGAATAAAGCTCTGCCCCCTCCTGCTGTCCATCTCCAGGGCACATCCATGGCCTCCCTGGGGCACTAGGTCCATCACTGGCCAGCTGAGAGGCTTCCCCTTGACTGCGGGCTGGCTCCTCCTGGAGCTCTGGGTGGAGGGCTTGCTCCAAATGCAGATGTCCGGCCCAGCACAGCCCGTAGTGCTTGCTGAGAAGGGACCTGTCACAGAAGCATCTGTCCTGTCCCCATGGGAGGTGGGCTTCTTTAGACCCCCCGAGAACTGCTCCACAACTCTCTGGTCTGGGTTCCCAACATCACTCCACCTTGGACACAACTTACTTTCAATCTTCAAATGGCTGATAGGGATGGTCTCACAAATAGGTGGTGGAAGAACAGATGGTTCTGGGAAACTGGCTCATTAAGTGAGAGAAACAAAAGTGGGTCCCTATTTTACACCACATTTTTAAAAAGTCCAGGGACTTCCCTGGTGGTGCAGTGGTTAAGAATCTGCTTGCCAGGGCAGGGGACATGGGTTCTAGCCCTGGTCCTGGAAGATTCCACATGCCGCAGTGCAACTATGCCCGTGTGCGCCACAACTTCTGAGCCTGCGCTCTAGAGCCTGCGAGCCACAACTACTGACCCCATGTGCCACAACTACTGAAGCCCGTGCACCTAGAGCCTATGCTCCACAACAAGAGAAGCCACCGCAATGAGAAGCCCGCGCACAACAACGAAGAGTAGCCCCCGCTCGCCGCAACTAGAGAAAGCCCGTGCCAGCAATGAAGACCCAACGCAGCCAAAAAAAAAAAAAAATTCCAAATAGCTTAACGACATACTTGAGAAAGGAAATGCTATAAATAGAGGTGGATATCTTTGAGACTTTGGGTACAGGATTTACTTACTGAATTTAAAAAGTGTTTAATTATGAAATTCTTAAAATATGTGGACAAGACCGGACACACATGTACTCACCCGCCAGGTTTACCAGATGTTGGTACTGTGTCCTGTTTATTCCCAGTCTGCCCGTTTTGGGAGGAAATAAATGTTACAGGTACAGCTACCTTTTACCACTTTCCTCCTCTGTCCCCCTCAATATAATTCCCACTTTCGTTTTGGTATTTTTACTACAAATGAAGGTGTTCAAAAACAATATATGTATTGAAACTTTGCAAAAATGGTATTACACAGTATCTGTTCTGTAACTTGCTTTCTCACACAGCTTGTTTTAGAAGTCTGCCCATGTGGTTGTGTGAGGATGTGATCCATTTGCTGAAACTGCTCAGTATTCCATCACAACATACTTCCCCTCAGCCAGCCAGCAAGCTCTTCACGGGACTACGGAAACCAGGGCTGCCTCAACACCCCTTTCCTTCCTCCTCTTGGACCTGAAGGTGGAGAAGCAGGAGTGCCAGGTTAAGGGGACACAGAGCTTCAGGTGTATTAGTTCTGTGAATCCCCACACTTGGTTGACATCA